TATTTATCATATTTTATTCAACATAAAAATGAAATAATAAATAACCACAATAGAATAACTTCATAAATAATACAAAATAAAATTATATATGAAATGATGGTATTAATAAACATTTAAAAGAATAAATAAATAAATGATATGAAAGAAAAAAATGAAGAAAGAACAATATGCTATACTATAATATTATAATAAAATAAAAATATAATAAAAAGAAAAGAATATGAGAAAAAAATGAAGAAAGAATAGAAAAAAAAATCAAATAATATCATGAAATACATAATTTTTTTACTAAATTTGAATAAATAACAATGAAAGAAATGAATAACAAAAAATAAATGAATGAATTTTTAGATTAGAATAGAGTACTGCTAATATAAATTACAATAACTAAGTAAATCATAAGCTTGTTATTATAGTAAATGACATTTTCTAATGTGATATTTTTTAGTTATTATGAAGGTTGTTAAAGCATTAGAAATTATTAAAATAATATTTTTATGTTATATAAACATCATCAGTTTTAGTTGTTAAAATTTTTAATAAATCTAATCATTCACTACCTTTTATTTATTCTCATTTCAGTTAAAATGTAATAAATTGTTTTTGTTGAATAAAAACTTCTATTTTTATTATCAATAAATCAAACTAATTAATATTCATTTAGATTAATAAATATGTTTGGTTAAATAATAAACAAATAAACGTTATGAAAACAATTAAAGGTTGAAAAGATATTTTATCTAACTCAAAGAAACACAAACAAAATTTCAATATTTTGTATAACTATTACTCAATAAAAGCACATTCTTGAAATAAAATATGATTATATATTAACAATTCAAAACTAAGACAATTAGAAGGTATTAAAAAATAAATTAATATATAAGTCCCATCTATTTGTTTTTTTTGTTTATTTATTAACAATGGTAAGCTATTTATTTTCTAACTAAAAAACCACTTGACAGTTATACTATTAAACTAACTTCAATAGATAAATTTTTATCTAACTCGAGTTTCACTAAAACAATTAACACGATGACTTTAAATATGACTCTCATTTAAAATGATATGTTTATACGTCAGGGTATTTTTCTTAAAGAATTGGACTATTATTCCTTAAATGAATTATCCACTTTTATTAATTCTTTTTTATTTCATTTTTCTTTCCAAAACTTTTTCACTGACAAATCAAAAATAGTTTTTATTTTTATATAAATATTTTAAACAGGTAACAAACGAAAAAAAGGAAAATTGAAATAAAATGATAAAAATTTTGAAGGATTGTATCATCATTATTATACAATGCATTAGCTAATACTATTCGTTCAAATAAATAAATTCTTTTTTTTTTATTTGTTTTTATTATTTAAAAAAATATAAGTCAAAGAAGTACCACTTTCATTTCTATCTAACCCATGACAAATATGAAAAATAAATTTTAGATATGGGTTTGAGATGTGTAAAATGAAAAAGAATTTTTTAAATAAATTGTTAAATTGTATGATCAAGAAAATTGTACTGTAGATTAAAAAAAGTTTTTTTGTATGGAATAAAAGAAACAGTACAAAAAGAATGAAAATAAATCACTTAGAGAGAGTAGGGCATAGACAAAAATTTGTTAGTGCTAGTTTTTGAATATAGGGATCTCCACGTGGAACAACAATATCTTTTTGGTCTCGAACAAGAGAAAATAAATAGGAGTTTAATTTCTGACCAAGAAAAACTATTTCATCATAGCCATACCATAATTTGTTGTAATAAAAGATTTGATGGATTCTCTCAACTTGAAAACATTTCTTTGATTTTTTTGATAATACCGAATTGAAGAAGAATCCATATTCAAGACAAATATCATAAAGAAAATTTAAAGTAAATGTTGAACGATTTTTAGAAAATCTTCTCATACGAGTTTTTTCAGAGACATTTTGAGTAGTTGATTGAAGAGCAAATAATTCACATTGTTGTTCGGCAAGTCTTCTAATTTCTATTTCTTCATAATCAAAATACAAACAAACTACTTCTGGTCTGCTTGTAATTGTAATTGACTGTTTAAATGGTTTTTGTAATTTAAATCCACAAAATGGATTTAAGATAGCCAGTAAAATAGCTTGTTCATAACATTCAAAATTTTTCATATCCTTTTCATTTTGAGAGTATCTCATAAGGTCTTCTTTTCTTCTAATATCTGTAGTACTAAAAGTTACTTGCTCAGAGTTGTTCATGAGTATCAAGTATTCAGTTATAGTTTTTCTTTAAGTACTGTGCCAAGAACTCACCCAAAAGAAAAAAAATTCTTTTTGTATTTTTATTAAACTTTAATGATTGAGATTAGTTAAAGTGGTGTATCAAGACCAATTTTTCAAAAACCATAAGAATTTACTTCATTATTCCATTTCATCTAATCTAATTCTATATTTAGGTCTCTTTTTTAAACTAACCTTAAATTCATTTTGGTAAAGAAGGTGGAAAAATAATAAAAAAAAACAATATTGTTAAAAAATATATATGAAATAAATATGCGTGGGGAAGAAGTTTGAAACAAGAATCGTGTTGTATTTTCAAAAAAGAATCAATTTTGCACAAGTATCAATTGATGGACGAAGGTTAGAATTTAAGTTAAGAAGCTTATTAAAGAAGTCATACGTATTTTTAGTGTGGTACGGAATCGAAGAATCTATTAAAGACTGTGACACAGTTAATGTAGTTGGAATAGTTATTGAAGGATTCATTAAAATTTCATTTGCATCAAAAGAATAAGTAGAATTTATAAAGTCAAATATTGTTTTGTTGTTACTTATTTGAAGAAATAACTTACCAGATATCATCTCAAAAAGAACACATCCAATAGAAAATACATCAATACTTTGTGGATTTACTAAAATATTTAAATCACCTTCAGGTGGACGATAATTTGGAGTTACACAATTTGCTTTAACTAATTCATTCGAATGGTAATGATAAGCATTACCAAAATCAATCAACTGAATTTGTTGTTTATCTGTTAATAAAAAATTAGATGGTTTTATATCACGATGAACAATATGTAATGAATGAAGATATTTTAATACCTCAAAAAATTGATATTGAAGTGGAGTAATCCATGAAATTAATTCTTCAAAAGATATTGTACTTGAATGTTTCTTTTTAATTTCTTTCTCTAAGTTATTTGGTATAAATGGCATAATAATGAATAATGTATTTTGTTCAACAATAAAATTTTTTATTTTAATAATTTTTTCATGTCGAAGTTGTTGAAGAAATTTAATTTCTCGAAAAGTTTGAAGTTTAAGTTCACTATTAGTACTTTGGTTATTGAATTCTTTAACGGCGATAATCTCTCCATCTTCTGTTTGTGATTTATAAACTTTTCCAAAAGTACCACATCCAATTAATTGTCCATTCATTTTATTTTTTTTCTTTTTTTTTTAGTTTTCTTTTTTTTTGCAATCACATTTTTTTTAAAAACAAAAATAATTATAATAAAATATTACAACCTTAATAAAATGTTATAATTTAATGAAAGGTAATTAAAAAGAAATTTGTTATTAAAATAATATCAAAAATGAAAAAAAATAAAAAAATTCATCACTGATGATAAAAGAACTTTGAAATTTCAGATTAAAAAATGGAGTCCGGGTTACTTCCTTTGTTATATACTAAAAAAGAAGCTAAAACAACTCTTATAGGATATCCTTTTTTGGTTGTTTATATTATTGCTGCTGGACTTGGTATTTTTATTGAAGGGACATTTGAAACAGCTTCATTTGTGTTTTTATGTATTAGTGGATTAATTCATGTATTATTATATTTAAACACTGAGTGGTCACTTAACTTTAATGTAAAGATTAATTTTAAACAAGTCACATCAATGAGTGAAGCTACTCATGTTTTTTTCAAAAATAAAACAGAAAAAGCATTATGTCCAATTGAAAAAGGAGAACATTACGCTTATGTTTATTTTAATTTTAAAAAATATATTTACAATACAGAAGATGGACTTTTTTATCCACTAGAATATCCAAATAAAATGACTTTAAAAGAATATGACTCTGCTGGTTGTTTAACAAAATCAAAAGTTAATGAAAAACATGAATATTATGGTTTAAATAAATGCTCAATACCAGTTCCTACTTTTATGGATTTATATAAAGAACAAATTATGCAACCATTTTTCATATTTCAAGTTGTTTGTAGTATTTTATGGATGATGGATGATATGCCAATATTTGCCTTTATGATGTTAATAATGTTATTTGTTTTTGAAGGAATGACAACATTCACCAGAATGAAAAATTATGGTAATTTTAAAGCTATGGCAGCAATGAAACCAACAACACATACTGTCTATAGAGATGGAATTAAAACACAAGTTGATTGTGACCACATATATCCTGGAGACTTATTAGTTATTACTACAGGAAAAGCTATTGCAGATTGTGTTATTGTTAAAGGAATGTGTGTTGTAAATGAATCTATATTAACTGGTGAAAGTACTCCACATATGAGAGAAGCGTTATCAACAATTATTGATCCAAATACAGAAAATGATGTTCTCGATTTAAATGTTCATAAACATCATATTATCTTTGGAGGAACAGAAGTACTTCAAGATGACCAATGTTTAGGATATGTTATTCATACAGGATTCAAAACTGCTCAAGGAGAGTTATTAAGAACTATTATTAGTTCAACTGAACGTAAAACAGCAAATAACTTAGAAAGTTTCGTAGTTATTTTATTTTTATTAGTCTTTGCATTGATAGCTGCTGGTTATGTATTTATTGATGGAATTGAAAAAGGAAAATCATTTTGGAAATTAGTATTATCATGTGTTTTAATTATAACTAACGTTGTACCACCAGAATTACCTATGGAACTAACTAATGCTATTAATTATTCTTTAGTTTCATTGAAGAAACAATTTATCTTTTGTACTGAACCTTTTAGAATTCCATTTGCTGGAATTGTTGATATTTGTGCATTTGATAAAACAGGAACACTTACTTCTGATGAAGTATCTGTTGCAGGTATTGCTGGATTAAAAGATGATCCATTTAAATTAAGAAGTAGTATTGATGAAGTACCCCAAGAAATTATTAACGTTATTGTTGCATGTAACTCGTTATCTAAGATGAAGGATGGAAGTGTTATAGGAGATCCAGCTGAAAAAGCAGCATTAGAATTTTCAAAATGGAATTTAACTTCTGACGGAAGATTTACTCCTTCAAAGAAAACTAATAAACAAATTCAACCAATACAACGATTCCCATTTTCTTCATTACTTAAAAGAATGTCAGTTGTTGTTGCTATTAAAGATTTTAACACTAATACTAAAACTATTATGGGATTTGTTAAAGGAGCTCCAGAAATATTAAAAGGAATGTTTAAAGAAATACCACATCATTATGATAATGTTAATAGATTTTTTACATTACAAGGAATGAGAGTATTAGCATTTGGATATAAATCTATTAAAAATGGAGAAAAAAATAAGTATGCTAGAGATGACATTGAATCTGATTTAGAATTTGGTGGATTTATTTTATTCTCATCACCAATTAAGAAAGAAAGTAATGAGACAGTTAAACAATTAAAAGAAAGTGGACATGATGTTGTTATGATTACTGGAGATTCTATATTTACTGCAGCCCATGTTGCTGAAGAATTAACAATTACTAGTAAAGATAAGGTAATGTTAATTAAAGAAAAAGAAGAATGGAAGTGGACAGACATGGAAGGTCTTGAAATTAGTCCATTTGATACAAAACAAGTAAGTTCAGAAGTTATAAATCGACATATATGTCTTAGTGGAGAAGCACTTTCTTATATAAAAGAAGAATGTTCAAAGGAAATTATCCAAACAATTTTATCAAAAACTAAAGTATATGCACGTGTTACACCTCAACAAAAAGGAGAAATTGTATTATTATTAAAAGAAATGGGTAATATAGTGTTAATGTGTGGAGATGGAACAAATGATGTTGGAGCATTAAAAAGTGCAGATGTAGGTATTGCTGTTTTAAATACATTACCTAGTGAAAAAGAAAAGAAAGAAGCAGAAATGATAAAATTGGGAATTATTCCAATGCCTGCTAGACCTACTCCTAAACCTCTTACTCCTGAAGAAATTGAAAGAAGAAGAAGAATGACTCCTCAAGAAAGAAGTGAATTCTTAAAAAATGAATTAAGAAAAGCATTTGAAGGATTACCAGATGATGAGTCAACTGTTGCCAAATTTGGAGATGCATCTATGGCTTCTCCATTTTCATGTAAATCAATTGAACTTACACCAGTTTGTCAAATATTAAAACAAGGAAGATCTACATTAGTAACTACTCAACAAATGTTCAGAATATTAGCTTTAAATTGTTTAATTAGTGCATATGATTTAAGTGTATTAAAAATTGAAGGAGTTAAGAATGGTGATATACAAATGACAGTCACAGGAATATTGTTATCTATATGTTTCTTAATGTTATCAAATACTCAACCATTAGATAAACTTAGTAAACATCATCCAACAAAAACTATCTTTGCACCATTCCACGTGTTGTCTGTACTGTCACAAGCATTTATTCATTTTATAGTTATTCAACTTGCATTAAAATGGGGTAAAGAAGCTGCTGGTCCTGATTATAAAATACCTGAAGAAGATGCTGAATTTAAACCAACATTAGTTAATAGTATTGTTTTCATTGTCTCCAATATTATTAATGTTACAACCTTTGCAGTCAATTATGTTGGAGAACCATATCGAAAGAATATTACCGAATATAAGCCATTAATGTATTGCCTTCTAATAGTTTTTGGATTAACAATAATTCTTTCATTTGAAATTATACCAGAACTTAATGAATTATTCACATTAGTCTCATTCCCATCAGATGATTTAAAATATCGTATTATTGGATTGATTATTGCTGATATTGGATTGTCATTTGGAGTTGAGCGAATGTTAAGAATTTTGTGCAAATTCAATTAAATACTTTTCTAGAATTTTTATTGCATTAAAAAGGGTTGATTATTTTTTTAATAGAATTATTTTTCTAGAAAAAAAACTATAATTATAGTTTTAAAAATGAATTAAAAACCATATGATTTTATTGAACTATTTTTTGACAATATTCATTGAAAATTATGACCTTTAATTCTATTGCTATAAAATTCAGTGAAAAGGCTTCTTATGCTTTTGATTTGTGCTTTAAATGGATTAATAAACTGAAATGGATTATTGTTGTTTTTTGGATTATTGTTGCTCTTGGAATGGTATATTGTGTATTTGGATTCTTAAAACATACGTCCATGGTAGTTAGTCCACCAAAGGGGTCTTTAGGTTGGCAAGCAAATAAAATTTATAATGAAAAGTTCCCAAATATAAGTGGTGTTAGTCAAGTCGCTGTTGTTATTAAACAAATGGAACAATTAGATGACATCAATAATTCTACTTATCTTTTAAATTTCAGTACTTCCTTTAACCAATCAATTATGACTGATGAAAAAGGATATCTTGTTAGGAAAATTGTTGGAAGATATATTATTCCTCAATACTCTACTTTTATTGAAAAATTTATTGCTCAGTTTATGGCTAAGAGCATGGTTTCTGGAGAAGTTACTTTAATTGAAATAGAACTGAGTGGAGAAGAACCAACTGCAGTTGGACCATATGTAAAAAGAATGAGAAAGTATATTTCTGATTATAAAGAAGCATATGGAGATGGAGGATATGATTTTGCTATTACAGGGTATGACGCATTAGGAATAGATCTTCAAAGTGTTGTAATTAAAGCGTTAGAAAAAATGGAGTTAATTGTATTTCCAATTGCATTAATAATCTTATTGTATGTTGTTCAATCACCAGTATTATTAATAATACCAATAGTGAATGTTATTATAATTGTTTTAACAAGTTTTGGATTAATGTATCCAATTTCAATAACTGTAGATGTCTTTGGTATTACACCAGCAATGATGATGTCTACAATTGCTGCAACAGCCATTGACTATTCATTATTTTTGTTAACTCGATATACAGAAGAAATTAATAAGAAACAATCATATTATGATGCTGTTTCCAATATGTTGAGAACATCAGGAAGGATTGTAGGAACAAGTGGGTTTGTAATGTTATTCTGTTTTTCAGTTATAGCAATATTTCCATTTGATATTGTTAGGTATATTGGTATTGGATGTACAATAAGTGTTACTATTACATTAGTTGTTGATTTAACTATGACACCAGCATTGTTCCTTTGTTTCCCTAGATTCTTTAAATTACAAAGTTGTATTCCATGTTATAAAAAATGTGTAAAGTTTACACAACGAAGAGCTCGTTTTCAAGGAGTAGGTGATCAGATGTGGCATAAATTTGCAACTTTTCAAAGTAAAAAACCAGTAGCTGCTACTATGTTTTGTTTAGGACTGATCGTAATGATTCCATTCTGTGTATTTATATATAGATTTGAATGGACATTAGATAACAATCAAGTTGTTCCTCTTGAAACAGAGTTTAATAGAGGATTTGTGAATATTCAAGAATCTTTCCCTATTGGAATATTATATCCATTCCATTTATTAATTGAAAGTGATGTTAAAACAATGGACGTTACTTCAAATGAGTATTATAATTTTACTCAACAAATGATTTCTGTTTTTAGTGAACAAATGCCATATGCATTTGATAATACGAGTGTTATTTGTTTTAACGCAGCTGGTGGTAAAGTTATTTCACCTAAACAACTCCAAATACTGATGACAAAAGAAGGATATCAAAACGCAATGGAAAATTTCTTAAGTAAAGATTCTTCAGTAGTTAATTGTCAATTAATTCCAAAGGTTGATCCAACAAATAACTCTACTTTATTAATTGCAGATATTAGAGATCATTTTACACAACTCGAATCTGAATTTGGATATAAAATATTAATTCAAGGTATTATTGTTGATGGTGTGGATTGTGTAAATGCATCAATGAGGTATTTTATTCTTGTATTAATAGTATTGGTTATTGTGATTCTTATAATGGTCTTAATATTCTTTAAGAGTGCATTAGTTCCATTACGTGTTGTTTTTACAACATGTCTTACATTGTTATTTGTTTATGGTGCAGGGTCTTTAATATTCTGTACTGATTATTTTGATTCTATAGACGTAATAGATCAAACAAAAGGAATTTATTGGGTTGTTCCAATTATATCAGTTCCAATAATTTGTGGATTATCATTAGATTATGACATCTTCTTATTCTCAAGAATTAGAGAATACAGAACTCGTGGATATTCAACATCATTAGCAACTGTTTATGGAGTAGAAAGAACTGGGTATTTGATTACATTTTGTGGTATTATAATGGCTGTAGCATTTTCAGGATTATTTTTAGCTGGTGTTATTGTTTTAGATTTGTTTGCATTTGTTTTAACTTTAGCTGTCTTAAGTGACACCTTCCTTGTTAGAACATTACTTGTTCCATCATTTGTTCATTTATTCGGTGAGTTAAATTGGTGGCCAATTAAATATGAAATTAATACAACCGAATATGAAAATGCAGATGAATTTCATATTTATGATCATTTAGATTCTTCTTCAACTAGTGAAAGTGAAGATAATTCTAACCAAATAGAATCTACTCAACAAGGAACAGACTCAACTCCTTTACTTAATTGATATTAAATTAATAAATTCTTAAAACAAATTTAATTACCAATTTTGCAAAATCCATTCTTCAGTAGCAGACAAATCAACTTTAGCTGCTATTGTTTTCAATAATTCAATATCTTTAAATGAGTCATCATCAATTTGGCATGGCAATTTAGGGTCAAGTCTATGAGCTCTTGGTCCAAATAATACTTTTGCAAATTCATCAGCCAGTGCAATACCTGCTGTTTTAAATAAATCAGTTACACAAGTCGCCCATTGAACATAACCAGCTCCAGTGTATTTCTCAGCATCAAAATAAGACTTATATGTTCCTCCACTTAAACTTAATACAACACTTTCTTTAGGATCAAAGAATGCTTTAGCTACAGCAAATGGTTGATTAATAAGAAATGAACCATCAACAAATGATTGGTGACAAGTAAATAATCCTGGTGTAGCAAAAGAACGTAATACAACATCAGATAAAAGGTCTTCATTATTAATCATATTATCATCAAGATCAGTATTTGTTTTTTGTAACACAATATTATTTAATAATACTGGTATCATTCTTCTATTAGGGTCATTAATACCAGAATCTATTTTAATAACAGGAACAACAACCTCTCTTTTTAAATCACAAAGTTTTTTATCTTGGAAAATTTTATTTGCAAGAATCTTAATAAATTTACTAGAATATTTATATGATAAAACTCCTCCTTTATGTGAAGTAGAAGAGAAAACTTTAACCATTGTCTTTTCATATATTTTAATAACTGTGTCAATGTCATATCCTACAAGTGTCATTAATATTGGGAGAGTACTTGCACCAACAGAACAAATCATATCAACATTATCTAAGAAATGTGGAAAATTTTCTACAATTCTCTTTAAAATAATTAATTGGACAAGAGTACGTACTCCACAACCATCTAATGATAATATTCTAAATTTATTTTCTCCAACTGCCCTTTGTTCTAACATATATTCTTTGGAAGGTTTATTTTCTTGAAGTAACTTATCAATATAAATTTCATATTTCTCACTTTTACTTTGGAAAAATCCAATTTTCTTTTTATCTTTATCTTTACTATCATCATCAGAGTCATCAATAGAACTCATTACAGTAAAGATTTTTGAACCTCCTCTTTCAATTCTTCTTGATTGAATTTCTTGATTTTCTTCTGCAAATTTAATTGCTGCTTTTACTTGTTCACTTTCTTTAAAAATTTTTAAACAACTTTCATCATTTGCTTCAGCATAAACTATAGGTGATATTCCATCATTATTTAATGCAGTAGGATCAGCTCCTGCTTTTATAAGTAATTCACATAATTTAACATTATCTTCTTTCACTGCTGTATGAAGAGCAGTTTCACCTGTTTGATTTCTAATATCAATACCACGTCCAGACCATTTTTCTTGTTCATTAAGATCATCTCTCATTTGGTTTTTTTCAGTTAATGCAGTAATAATAGAAGAAACAAATGGAATATCTCTTTTATGAAGTTTAATTAATGATAGTTTATGAAGAGCATTTTCTGAACAATAATTTGTTTCTGTAATACAACATCCTTTATTTTGTAATGTCATTGCTAAATCTAAATGTCCTTTTTCAATTGCTATTAAAAATGGTGTATTTCCTCTTGCATCTTTACTTTCTAATAATGTTGGGCAATGTTGTAATATGATTTCTACAATAGTTACAAATCCCATTTCAACTGCTTTAAATAATAATGTATTACTTCTTGTACTTTTCCCAATCCATTCTGGAAAGTTATTTGTTAGTTCAGCATAAGCTCTATCTGCTTGACCTTTTTTTATTAATTTAATCAATTCAACTAATTGACTTTCTTGTTGAGGATCAACCATTGTTTCACTATTTTCTGGAACACTTTCTTTGATAGACATTGAATTATAAAAGTAATAGCTATTTTTATTTTCAGTTCTTGTTCTTTAAGTTTTTATTTTTGTTTTTTAAATGTTTTTCCCCTCTCAACAAAAAAATATTTAACTCTCTTTATCTCTTTGCTTAAACAAATGTTCATTTAAATGAACTATAACTTAATAATAATTTTAGTCATTGGTTTGTTTGATAAACTGTTGTGATGTTCTTATGAAATTGCGCATATGCTTTCCTTGTCTATAACTTACTGTTAATAGCTGATGTCCAAAATGAAAAAATGTCACTGTTTTAGGTCCAACTTTAATAGAAAGATCCTGGAATAGTCGAGATACCATAACACCGCTCTCTTTCATCATAACAAATGAAGTCTCAGTTAAAACAACCCAAATATCATCAATTGTAACATAAATAACAAAATCCCCTAATCCTTTTCTTTGAAGAATCCATGCAATTTTAGCTTCTTCTTCATTATAACTCATAATACGTCTTCTTTTATTTCCAACTCTTGGAATTCTTGAACGAGGAATTATATCTCCTGATTCTTCTGCAATTCCTTCAGTCATTTTTGATACAAAATCAACTACTCCTCCAGTTGGTTTTAGTACAACTCCAATTAATCCTTTTCCTACTCCTCCAACAAATCCACTAACTCCTTTTGTTTGTGCTCCTTTAATTGGTTGTGTAATAACTCCTTTTACTCCATCAACTATTCCATTGACAACACATCCTAATCCTTGAGACATACCTTCTGATGCAGAAAAAGGTTTTTTCTTTCTTTCTCTTTCTTTAATATAATCTTCGTCAAATGTTAGTGATGCAGTTAGGTTTCCAAAGGTATTTGAAATAGATGCAGCAGTAGAAGATATGCCATGAATAGAATGTAGTAATAATGATTCTGTTCCTTTAGCTAACCCAGTAGCAATTCCATTTCCTGAACGCTTTTCTTTTTGAGGAATTGTTATAAAATCAGTTATTCCATCATAAACAGAATGAACTAATACCCCTGGTGCTCCAATAAATTCCATTGAACTAACAGCAAGTAATAGTTGTTGGATTGCTTGAGAACGATAAAAATCAATAAAAAATAAACTAAGACGTTCTGGTGTTGCTGATAATTTATTGCTTATGAAGTCATTTAAATGAATTCTTGCAGATTTGATAGTTAATAAAGAATTACCTATCATTAATAATGGAGCTGTAAATGAATTATAACCAATGTTTAATAATGAAGAAGATGATAACATAGTATTTAATATAATATCAACAGGTGATATTTGTAATGTTTCAAAAGTTATAGTTTGAGAATTAGAATATGGGATAGGTTCAATATATAACTTAGGTATTTCAATTTGAAGTGATTTATTATCTTTTGGATTACTAAATAGTCTAATTAAATGAATAATTCTATTTAAGAATGGTGTTTCCAAAGAAATAAACATATTCTGAAATTGAATAAAACAATGAGGAATATGTTTATAAGTATTATTTTGTTGAGAAACAATATCAACACAAATATTAATTCCTTTACTTGCAAAAGGAACAGCAACAGAACAATCTCTTGCATTAGAATCAACTTGTATTGGTCCAATAAAAAGTCTGTGTTTATTTTTAAATAATGTACTTTGTTTATTATATGTGATATCTTTTAATGAGATATAGGCTAATTCTTCTCTATCCTCATCAATTAAATCAATTCCTAATTTATTAATTGTTATATTAAATTCAGTCGTATTCATTTTTTCTTTTCCAATTAATCCACCAACATCTCCTTTCATTTTTTCCCATTTGTCTGTAAAAACTAGTTTATTTACACCATTAAATATCCATGTATATGGATAAACAATTCCATGTATTCCTGCTTTAGCTTCATATACTTCTGGATTATCTAATGAATAAGTAACAAACTCATTAATAGAAAATTCAGATTTAATTTGAATAGTAGAAATATGTGAGGTATTAGGAAATACAACAGGCTGTGATTTTCTTGGTTCTATTTGAGTTTGTTCATCTGAATGAATGTGTTTAAAAATTATAGAATAATCAGTATCATTTTCTATAACATATTTACTTGTTTCTTGTATTTCTTGGAAATGAATAATAACTGATTGTTGATAATGTATTGAAATAGTTGTGGCTTGTCCTTCTTCTATTGATCCATTTTCTTTGTTTAATAATAATAATTGAAAATGTGTATCTTTATCAATAGGAACACGACACCAAGGACCTTTGCATCGAATAGAAACATTAATAGAAGAAGATATAGAAAAACTCCCATAAACTGGGATAGAACCTTTTGGTGGAATAATTATAACGTCTTTATAATTTGATCCAACAGAACAATATAATTCACACCCCAAATCATTTACTGCCATAAATGCAGGTCTTATAGTAATTTGTCGTGCTATACCATCAATAATACTAATACTTACAACAAGGTCATAAGTAATTCCATTTTCTATTATACGAATAACTTCTTCTGCTTTTTCTAATAATAATGCCCTTGACCAAGAGCTTCCAGTACCAATATACAAAGGCTTAGAGAATCGAGTAATTGGTAAAGGTTGTGAATTATTTCTTAAACCAATTTTTCCACCAATATAATTCTTTTTATCTAAAGAAAATTTTAATGGAATAAATGATCGATTAAACACCCATTCTTCAGCATCAATTCTTAATGTCCCTAAATCCCAGAAATATCTAATACTATTATATCCTTTACATTTGCCAAATATTTTTAGTTCTCCACTTTTTGGAATTAATGTTTCATTATATCCAGCTATAGTAATAAATACTGGTGAGTCTGGATTGATAAATGTTGATATAGAACTAAGTGATCGAACTGGAAATACACTTGTTGGAGTTTTTAATGAAAATGGCATTGGAAGAAGATTAGTAACAATTAAAGATGGAGCAAGAGAAATAGTTGTTTGAACAAACCCCACAATTTCTCTTGTACTAATTCGAGTTAAAATACATTTACTTGAATTTACTTCTACATATTTTTCAGTCATAAGATCTTTTAAAGGCATTTTATAATTAGAAAGTCTTGATGAACACAATGACATTTGACCATTAAAGAATTGAGGTGGAACATAAAAAATTCCTTTACTTGGTATTGAAGCCTGTACCTCAATAAAATCAGGTATGTCATCTTGACTATCTTCATCTTGATTATCTTCTACATTCAATGAATTTTTTAATTGAGGAACATCATTGTTTTGTTGTGTAAATTTATCTGAAGATTTATCTGAAGCACTAAAGAGTCTTGGACGAGAAATAGTTTCTATGTTTGTAGAATGACCAGCTTTTAAAACATTATTACTTCCTAGTCTATGTCTTGGAGTGTCAAAACGTCCATGAAGATTATTATTTTTAAGATTATTAATTTTTATAGGATTTGGATTTGGTATTTGAATAGAAATGAATAATTCTTCTTCAAAGTCATTCTGAATAGCTAACAATGAACTAAATTTAATAATTTTTGAAGAGTCTTGTTGAATAATTACTGAAATGACTAAATAACCACTTCTTAGTTTATGTACATATTCTCCTTCACAAATAATTGGAACTTCAATTCCTTCTCCTTCTGGAGTAAAAACCATACATTTCTTAAGTTCTGTATATTCTCTTTTTAACGTCATATTTTCAAAATGTTGTAATTTATTATTTAATTTTAATACTCCACAGTTTGTAATAGATACCATTAAACTATCTTTTTCATATGCAGAATATTCATCAATAAATTGAATTGGAATAAAATCAAGGTTTTCTTCTTTTGGTGTCCAAAAATCAGTTTGAAATACTCGTTTCATTTCTTTCATAAGATCAACAGTTAATATACATTCAATATTTCCTAAATCAATATTTGTTAAGACTCTAGTCACAATACTTCCTTGAATACAATCTACTACTGATCTTCTACTAAATTCCATTAATGTTTTTTCAAGCATTACATCATATTCTCTTGTTTGTGGATTATATCCATCTACTTTAATTTGTCCTAATACTCGTAATATTGAATCATCATTTCTTGATCTATAAACAACAGTTGCACTTGGTATTTTCATTCTAAATAATGGATCTTTTCTTAATGGATTACCAACTATTAATTTAAATCCATTTAAATCTATTCTAATAGAACATTCAGAATCTATTTCATAATTAGTTTCTCCTCCAAATTTCCCTAATAAATTTATGAAATATAATATTAATTTCCAATCACTAAATGTTGTTATTAATTCAGCGTTATTGACTGTGACACTTCCTCTAATTCCAAACCAATTATCCCATCCTTCTCTAATAATACTTGTTGATAATGAAATACCTTGACTTAATTGAATTCCTTTTTTTAAATCAAAATGATGTCCTCGAGAAAAACATGAGCGTACATCTATTATATTAAGTTCAGCTAATGATGTACTTCCACATTGTGTAACTGTATGACAAACTGTTGCATCAATAGTTACATGTAATAATGCAGTATCAGGAGAGTCATCCTGTACTGCAATAATAGCAGTATCATGTAAAGATACTGTGAAAACATGAATTTGATCAGGAGAAATTGCACTTGAAATAGGTCTACAAGGTTGAAAACTTGTTAGGTCTATATGAAAAGTATCAATATTTGGAATATTACGAGTGACATAAGTAATAGAAGAATCAATATTAGGAATATGACGACCCATAGGGATAGTGGGAACTAATACACCAATCTTTACTAATTCTTCACATATATACTCACAGACATATTGAGGATATGACCATTCATAATTTGCTTTTAAAACAAGAATTACTTCAGCAAAAGTCATTTCCATTGGACATGCCTCATTTAAATATTTAATTATTTCTGAAGGTGTTTGACTTTTTCTTTTTAATCCTTTGTTAATAAATGTATTTTTGAATGGGTCTTGATCATCTCCAAGATGAATAAGATTTTCTTTGATATACTGAGAATTAATTAATTCTAATTTATTAGAATTATTTAAATTTACTGGAACAGTATTTTTATGAGGGGATGAAATAGTACTATTTGGCTTACTATTAATTATTGATTGATTTTCCTGAAAATCGTTCGTGGATTCTTCAATTTCAGATTGTTGAATACTTTCTTCTGTTTTACAATTTACAACAACTTTAGTTGAAGGATGAAGTAAAACATCATTTGGATTTACTAAGATGATGTCATTTCCATCAAACATTATATTTAATATATTAATTAATTTAGTAATAAATTGAGGAGTAAGAATCAATGAAGAAGAATAAATGTCTAAGTTACTTTGGATATTTCCATACTGAATAGAATAATTTCCAACAACAGTAAGAATTTTATCAATTTTAGATTTCTTAAATATATTTCTATATTCTTCCATTTCTACTTTCGTTCTAGTATCAATAATCATAAGATTATCTGTTGTAAAATGAAATATCGCATATGAGTTATCAGTTAAATCAACATTTCCAATAAAATTAATTAATGATAATTTAGATACTCCATTAGGTATATCACAGTCTTCTTTAATTGATATTTCAAATTGTTTAATACTAATACCTATACTCAAATTAATATTTTTTGATATTGGAGGTAATTTACATAATTCAATTCTTTTAATATTTTGACTTTCTTCATTTGATTGATCTGAACTAAAGAATGTTTTAACAAAATCAAGAAGTAATTTAAATTGATTTGGAGATAGTGCAATATCAGCACATGGAAATTCAGTTATAATAGTAGGTTGTTTTCCTTTTTCTACTAATGGGATATTCACTGAAAAAGTAAAATCATTAATACATCTATCTTTCTTTCTATTAATATTTGTTGTTATTTTCATTTTATCAAATAATATTTCCCATCCATTATTTCCATCTTCAATATTTATGGCTCCTATTCTAACAATTACCTGTCCACTTGGTAAATATGCTATTAATGTAGGTGCTTTAATTTTAATATCAGTAGTTTTTCTTGGTTCTTTTTTAATGTCTAATAATGAAGAAGTAACTGTTTTCTTTAAATATTCATATTGTTCTTCTATTTTCTTTTGAACAGAAGTAAGATCTATAGCCTTCTTTACTTGGTCATTATAAACTACATTAATAATCTTAAAAAAATCATCCATGACATAATTACAAATAACTTCTCCAATTTTTAATTCTAAAATATCAGATGTTTCAGTTCCATTAGTATAATGTAACAAAAATACTTGACTACCAGCTGAAACAATAGAAGTATATCTTGGATCTTCTTTTTCATATAAAGTATTTTTTAAGTCTATTTCATTTATTTTGAGTGTAAGATCTATTATTTTACTATCCATATTTAATTGAACATTTAATCCATCAAAATAACATATTGCTAAAACTGCTATTTCTGATTGGAAAATGGTATAGAAATGAGATAAATTGATATTAATATTATAGATATAATTTGTAGTTGAATCACTTTCAGGTAACATTGTTAATGACATAGAAAAAATAATAATTTCACTAATTATTTGAGGTTCATAAATAAGAGTAAAAGTATCAATAGCAACATCAACACTAACTTTATTTTCAATAACTTTAATACTACATTGTAAAAATGGTTGTTTAAATCCTATTTGAGATTCTATTTCTTCTCTTAAATGTTTTTGTATTGTTTTGGATTGTATATCAGATGTAACTAAATAAGGTATTTCTGTATTATAGCCATTATCCATTATTAACTGACCTAGACTAATATTAATAGTAACTGCAGATGGAGTTACATTCACTCCAAATATACTTTGTTCTATTTTAACAGAAGTCATTGTTGATTCTTCAGTTATATCATTCATCCTAGATAATAATACATGAAATAAAGGAATATTAATATCAGCAATAAAATATGAAAGTTCAGATTGTTTTTTAACTAATTCTTTTACTAAAACAACGTCTACATCTTCAGTTTGATTTGTATTAATAGTAGTTTCCTTATCACTTGGGAAGAAAGATAATAAAAGATAAATATAAGCAATAATTTTATCATACTTTCTTTTACTTAATTGAGCAATAAATGGATCAATATTAACTCCTAATTTAATTTTAGGTATTGGTTCTGAAGAATAAAGTGTTGATAATTGAAGAGTAGCTCCTGTTTTTTGAACAACAATATTTTTTTTAGAATCGAATTGGTCTTGAATAGAATCTAAAAATTTAATTAAAACATCATCTATTCTAATATTGTAATTTTGATAATTCTCATCTCTTTGTAAATTAGTTATTTTTACATTTCCTAGTTGAAATAAAGCAATATTATTATCCATTCCTTTTTCTTTTCCATCATAATAAAAATATATTATTGGTGCAGTTAAATTAATTCTAATATCTAATAAAGGTGGTTCATCAGCAAATATATCTATTTGACTTGCAGCAGAAGAATATAATTGTTGTAATTGATATTCAGCAAATTGTTTAACATAATTTAAATTAAGGTTTGATGGTAATGTTAAAAAATCTACTAAAGAATCAAAAAATCCTTTAGAACAATTAATTACAGAGGGAGCACAGTCTATACTAACAATTGCATCACAATGTTTATCAATAGGACTTTCTTCAAATTCCATTTTAAATGATTTTTCGTCTGATAACTTAGTCCAAATTTTACCAAGACCAACTTTATTTTCTTTCACTTCTCCATTGTCAAAACTAAGTTTAAGTTTTAGTCCAATTACTCGAGCCTCAAAACCAATATTCATATTCTCTATTTTCATTTTACAAACAATTTTATCTTCATCAATTAATTTAAATTGTATTTTTTGTATTATTGTTTTAATCTCAAATACAATTGTTTCAGGTGGTAATGAATAATCTTCATGTTTATAATCAATAGCATTATATATTTGATTAATAGCTTCTTCACTTAATTCAGGTACTTGATATCCAAATCCAAACCATCCTCTTGTTGATTCATATATTTTTTTCTCTTCTGAAACAATTTTATAAGCAATTTGTCTAAGATAACAAATTTCTTGACTTCTTAATTGATTTTCTATTAAATTATATTCTTCTATTTCATCATTTGTTGCTGGTACCACCCATGGAATTTTTCTAACTTTCTTAAATAATTCAATAAACCTTTCTCGTTGTGTAGAACAAAAGTCAAATCTAATAGGATTTTTCTCTTCTTCTCTTTCTCTTAGATAATCCCTAGTGGCAATAAACGCAAATTTCCACCATTTTTTAGGTTGTTCTAATGCAGAAACTGTAGGACGACAATATAAATATTTAATTGTTTGTGTGTAATTAGTCATTCGTTCTACTATATGCATTACATTACTATATTGTTTCTTGTTCAATGAAAAAAAGATTTGTTGTATTTCACCTCCAAGAGTAACTTTGTGTCTCATTGTTTTTTCAATAGAAAGATTAAACTGAAAAGATGGAATTGTTGCTAACACTGTTTTATTCATTAATTCAAATGAATTTAATCCTTTTTCATTTTGTTGTTCAGATTCTTTATCAGTCATTTCATTTAATTCATCGTATAAAATAATACTAAGGTTATTAAGTTGACATATTTTGTTAATGGTATCTGTAATAGACATACTATTTTTTACAACAATTGAATTTAAATGAAACCCAATAATACCTTCTTTTTCGTCACCTTTATAAATGAAGTTTATATCCTCTATTTCTAATTCTAAATTTTCTATAATTTTATTTACAAGAGTTGTCCAAACCCCTGACTCATCTCCACCTGCCTTTGTTTCAGCAATTTGTTGAATTATTTCAAACCTATCAATAATTTCTTTTCTGTGTTCTTTCTTTTTTAAATCATATTGTTCTGCATCAAATACAAAAACTGTTTGTGGTTGTGAAATTATATGAAGTCCTTTAATTTTAATTTTAAATGGATCTGTTTTAATACTTTTCCAAGGAACTTCAACTTCTAATGTTTTTAAAATCCCTTTTGAAATAATAACTGGTAAATTAAATGTAGAACATGCATCTTTTTTTACTTGAAGATTCTTTAACTGAACATTTCCATTCCAAAGTGATACACTTACTGAATTTACATCTAGGTCTTCAATGTATTTTCCAATAGTTTTGGTAAGAAAATCTGCAATAAGACCTTCAAACATTTTAAATAATAGATCTTTTTAAGTTAGTCTGTTTTCATTCATAAATTTTCTTCTTTATTTATTTTTTATGGTTAATTTTTAAAGAACAGTCAAAGTATGTAATTATTAAATCTTTAAACAATTTTTCATTTCTGTTTCTTCTTGCTCTATTTTTCAATTTCTTTTAATTAGTGTTAAAAAAATTATTGGATTATACTATCTTAAAAAATAAAGAAAGCACATAAATAACTCTCTAAGTATATCTTTTAAATGGTTTTGTAAATTCTTTCAATTGAAGCTATTTACTTTTTTAACAATGATCATTTTTGAAAAATAGTGTACTTTGGAATTATTATTGATTTTAATACTATTCTATGAAGAATCAACAGTAATTTAATGACTTAATTGAACTTTATAATTGCTTTATGTTATATTCATTAAAAAAAAGAAATTCTATTTCTTTTTGAAGTTAATTAAACAAAAGACAAAAAGTATTAAACTAAGAAAGAATGACACTATTTTCTTGAAATTATTCATTGAAACATCCATTTTTTGTTAAATTAGTTTTTATAAAGTAAAACGTCTTTTATTTTATCTCATTAATTGAGTTTATACTCTAATGTGTTAATAAAAGGAATATCATCAATGCTTTTTAGAGATAAAATTATTTGTCTATTAATTTGATTCGATAAGTGTCAAAAAAATAAGTTTTATAATAATTGGTTTTATTCAAAGAAAAAATCAAAAAGAATAAATTGTTCTGTAATTATAAAACTCTAATCTAAAATGCATTCCGTTTTTATGGAAAAAAATACAGAACAGAAGAGTTTAATTTCTTCTATTTTATTCTAAATGACAGAACGGATGAAAATAGAAGTTGAAAAACATATATAATAAAGATAATCATCTTAAAAATCAGAATGTTCTTTGTCCTCTTAATCGCTACTTGTTTTGCTGAAAAAATTATGATCACAGAAAAGATGGGTCTTAACCAACTTCCTGTTGAATACAAAATTATTGATACTTCTGTCTGTTATATTGACGGTTCTAAAGATAATGAATATGTAAAATACAGTACTAGCGCATCAGGACAATATATTAAAACTGAGTATTCTGATAGTTATTGTACTATGATGAAAGAACAAGAATTAGTCTCTGGTCTTGTTACTCCTTTTAATGGTGATTTACCTACTTATATTGCATATACTACTAAAGATTTAAAGTCATGCCCAAATACATTTAATGAAAACGCTCCAATTATCAGAAAATACATTACTTCTAACTGTTATTTCGATTCTGATGATTCCTATAATTCAAAAAGACATGGAATTAAAAATGGACAAATTGTCACTGTTAAATTTAAAGATGCTCAATGCACTGATTCTGGTCGTATTGATGATTATGACGAAGAATGTGGAAGATGTGATGATGGAGAATATACATGGTGTAAAAATGGTGCATTCTCTATTGTTTCAATTATTGCACTAATGTTATTTTTCCTATTTTAATTGAATTAAGTTGTGAACATATGATAATATGGTATTGTTTAAAATGTAAAATAATTAACCCATAAAATAGTCAATCAAAAATATTATCTT